CACGGAGGGGATGAACCCCTGTCCACACTGGTCCCCCACATTCGGCAGCACGTTTGAAGTGCGGCACGGCCGAGCGCGTCAGTGGCTGCCGAGATTCAGCCTGGGCCCCACATGCTAAGCCACGCACCTCGGCATAGGCTGAGTCAGCCTGGGGCGGTGCGCCATTTTGGCACTTGACCACCCAGAAGAGGCATTTTTATGTACTTTGTACAACTACCCAGGATGTGCTGGCAGCTGAGAAGTACAAATTTCCTGTCATTTAAGCTCAGCGCAGCGTAGAGTCGACACTCCATGGGGCTCCTGGGCAAGGCTCCTGGTGGGTGGGTGATGGGACAGGAAGAAGGGAAGGAAAGGCCACTCTGTGGACCCAAGTCATTCGTCCCTGCAGACATCCCTGACCTACACCTCATTCTGTCTGTCTCTTAGGCATCTGCCCATGCAGCCCTCTTGCCTAGCCCACTCAGGCCCTGAAACCTCCTCTGCCCTTCCAGGCTTAGTCTGGGGGCCCTCTGGAGCCACTCTGATGCTCCCTGCCCCACATGAGCACGGACATCTCCGTGGAGCTGACTATCTCCACGGACTCTGTGCAGACGAAACATTTTGCCCACCATTTCCCTAGGGGCCTGAGCTTTTGGAGGCTAACGTCCAAGAAACTCCTCTTTGTTCAGCTTTAAACCCTGGGCCAATGAACCCAGAAAGTCCTGGTCACCCCAGTGGGGAAGAGCATAAAGAGGAGACATAAGGAGAAGTGGGGAAAGCCCCAAGTTGGGAGTTTTGAAATATTATTGCATGGTTTTCCTAAGCTAACCACACAGCAGAAAGGAAAGACTGCATCTCCCGATGAGGTAACAGAACAGCCTGAAGGCTCTTTTTTTCCTGCGGCAGCAGTGACATCAAGCATTGGCCATCCCAACTTCGTGACCAGCAGCTGGACCTCAGGGTCCGTCCAAAACCTCACTCAGAGGGACGTTAAGCATCTTGGCAAGTCTGTGTGAACACAGCCAACTGAAGCAGCCTCCTGTCCTCGGAGATCTTCTGGAGAATCCTTCGCATTGTTGTTGAATTTTTCCTGAGCCTCAGGAATGAGCAGAACTTCACGCTCAAAGAGGGACCGAGGAAGGGTTTGAGAATCCAAGCAGAATCACCAGGGCAATGTGTCAGGAACTCAGATGTGGAGCCAAAGAAGAGATGGAAAAACTTGCTGCTTCAATGTTCTGTTAAATTTGCCCAAATCACATCCCCGGTAAACCAGATGTCCCCACCACCACCACCAGAAGGGAGAGAAAACTGACTTTATAGTGCATTCAGTGTGTGCGTTAGCTCTTCTAAAGCCCAGGAGGTCCCACATCCTCAAGACTAAGGCTAAAGATTAAACTGAGCTGGTTTATTTATTCCATGAAACGCTCTCCAGCAATACTTGCTGTTCCCCAAACAGGTGTCAGCACCTCCTCTCTCTTCCTCCGCCCACCAGACCCTGGTCTGCCCCAGAGGAAACCCATAGCATCCCAGATCTGGGAGGAGAAGGGAACAGTTATGTCCGTGCTTTGGAGGGGACCCAAATTCCTGTCCAACAGCCTGTGGCAAACCGCCGTAGATGGTAACAGAAAGAGTAACCCTTGGCAGGGTCCAGTGTGAAGTGGTGAGTCCGAATCCACCTCCTCTGCCATTCTCACCAGCGGAGAGGCCCGCGGGGACCCGGGGCAGGGGGAGAAAGGTGTTCTCTGGATTCCCTCGCCCACGTTGACCTCCGGCCGTAAGTTAATTCAGGAAGAGACAAAGGACTCAGGCTGATCAATCCTCCTATTTCAAAAGCCAATCTGCAGAAAGCCGAAGGACCCCATCCAGAATCTTCACAGGCGTTCAGAAGCCTTTGCTGCCGAAGTCCAGCAGAGGGACGACACTTCCAGAATGCTTAAACCCACTCGCCTTTCCTGACTTTGCCGGGAGCCTGGTGGTCTCAGCAGGGGTTAACAGGGCCTGTTGCCTCTCTTGGTAAAAGAAAATCATTCCAACAGCCCTTCTTCTTTTAGGAAACTTGGGCCAGACATTCTTGTCAATAGGTTTAACATCTAGGCATTGCCCTTTATTCAATGAGACAAATTTTTAACCTATTGAAGTTCTAAGCCATTCACTTTTCCACCTAAAGACAGAACAATGGCATGGCAGCATCCCCCCCTTTTCT